AATGCTGACATCTAGTGGTGCTGTCACATTTGTACACAACACGGACCTTAAATTCTCACGTGCAGAAGCTGCAGTTAAATAAATTTTTTCTTTGCATGTTGCATCTTATTAAGACACTTGAATGCACAAATGAGCATTAACAGCTTCGTGGCACAAGAGGAAAATATTCATGGAAAAGTCAGTGATGTCATGAAAATGTGATTAGTTCAATATTTTTGTACCACATGATGTTAGTGTAGCTGTGTTCTGTCAGACAGAGGGAGTCTGACTGAGGCCTGTGATGCAGGGAAATGACAAGACGCACTTGTCGGGCATGACTCACTGCTGAGACACTCTGCGAAATGACATCATCACTGCAGTGAGGTCACTTATGGGCACGCGGAGGTGCCATGATGTCCTTCTATTTGCTCGGGAGGGAAAGCCTGGATAGATGGACTGCAGAGACAGCACGGTGGGAAACGTGCTGATGGAGGTTAAAAAAACATACAGATAAATAGATTACTTAGGAAAAGTGAATTCACTGTGTGACCACTTTGTAAAAAATATAACTGGAGTGATTTTTATGGTATGCAGAAGTTAAACAGGTTTTACACACATTTTAGCACTTATTAAATCTCTTGTTGGACTAAATGATCTACAGTCAGTAGCCATAAGCTGAACAGGCATCACATTTTTCACATGCATTTAACACCCTGGCTGACTTGGCCTCTGTGCCAGTGCTGACAGCTACTGGAGAGAAAAAAGGCCCAGTTCATAGCTGCTCTATAACTTCCAGATTTCCCCCTCTGCAGCTGCCCAAACTCCTCCGTGCAGCTCTCCAGCTACTCTCTCTAGGTACGGAAGTTCAGTCTGAATTATTCATTATAGAAGAAATATTTTCTTGATGATGATTAGTAGTAGTAGTAGTAGTAGTCAGTAAACTGTTAGTGGAAGTAGAAGCAGTAGTATGATCACAAGTATTCCTATCACAACTGCTATAACTGTTACCTCTATCATAATGTTTCATTACTGGACTGCTGACTCTGATTTTGTTGGAAAAGCTATAAATGACGACATCCTTGTGAATGAGGATGATGAGCTGTGGTAAAAGATGTGCTCAGGCCTTATGCTTAAAGGAACTATGTGTAACAATTTCAGTTGTTCTTTGAGACAAACAAATTTTGCAGTCAAAAGTGTGTCCTAGCACATGTGTATTAACCTGCATCAGCGTATCTAAGTATGTACATAAGCTCCGAAATTCTCATTTATTTATCTTGAAAATACAGGTACGTACAGGGACATACTTGAGAAATACGGAATCGCCTTTCGCGTTTTCACTTGTCGGTTTCCAGTTTCCGTCTGCAGGTAGAGTGACGAAAAGCATCAGCAAGCAGGCTAGTCACAAGTGTCGGTGCGTTTGAAAAAAGGCAACGTGACCAGCGATTTAAAAAAACGAGGGTCAACATCGGGGTAGCCTTTCCCAGGTGGAGAGAGCTGCTGAAGAAGAATCACAGCTAACAGTGGCTAACAGCTGTTAGCGACCAGCGCAGCTAAACCGTTTGAATGCAATGTACGATCTCAACACTAGATGGGAGAAATTCCTACACAGTGCCCGTTTAAGTAAAAGTAGCAGCACCACCACAGTAAAAAAAAAATATATATATATATGTACTGCATTACAAATAAAAGTCTAAGATTCACAATCTAACTTAAGTAAAAGTAAAAAGTGTTATCACCTTAATGCACTTAAAGGTCCCATATTATGCTCATTTTTAGGATCATGTTTGTATGTTGGGTTTCTGCTAGAACAATTCTTTATGTTTTAATGTTAAAAAACACTTTACTTTTTTTTTATACTGTCTGCCTGAATACACCTGTATTCACCCTCCGGCTGAAATATATGTTTTAGCACCTGTCTCTTTAAGCCCCCCTCATAAAAAAGCCCAGTTTGCTCTGATTGGTTAGTGTTTCAGGGCAACCTGGACTCACTCTGAAGTCGTCAAATACCAGTGCTTGGGCAGTGACTTCCAATGTCAGATACTGACAAAAAAAAAGAAGTCCTTTCACGTTAGCATACATGGCCAGTCGTACCCAGCAGCGTCAGGGTGAAATGGGACAACAAATTCCAAGAAGGGTGGCCGGGAGCAGTGGTGGATGGGTCCAACAACCACCAACTTTTACCCAGGAAGCCATGTTCCTTTCCCGTTTAATTGTAAAACCAAACCCTGTTCTTTTTTCTAGACCCAACCATGTGTTGTTGAAAAACACGTCAATTCACAGTGTTGTACAGACATGGTGCTTTAATTTTGACAGAGACTGTATGCAAACTGCACATTTCCTGTGAAAACAGAAGTGTATTTTGAAAACCGACGATGCACGGAACAGGCTGAAGTTGACACAGTGTCCCAGAACGTCAACAACCAACAAACCCAGGGTACCTTGCACGTCGTATGTCAACATGGAAAGTCCACGACCAAATGTCAATATGTGACGTGACTGGAGAGAGAATGTTCTGGGCCTTCCACGTACTGCAACAGCACTTTAGCTGCACTTTCTACCTTTATAGACTGTTTTGCGGAAATTGCTTTGGGTCCATGTTTACTTCCTGTCAGCCTATGTCACTCACATACACTGCAAAACATCTCAACAGGAAATACAAAGGGACCCATCAAGAATGTGTATGTTGTCAAGTTTGAAATGGTCTCTAGAGTATAGTTGTGACATCACAACTTTACAGAAGTCTTGACAGCTCATTTAGAGGCACAGTTTCTGAATATGGACTGTGTACAGGTCTCTGTGTATTGAGCATTTTGATACTTTCACAGTATTTAAATAACATCTATACCTGCTTTATATTAAAACAGCATGGAATCAGATTTTTTTATGATATGGGACCTTTAATATATATATAAATATAGAGATATTTATAGTACTTATTATGCATATCCTGTCATTGTTATATCATTAGCATTAGCATTTGTGGTTTTTATTATTGATGCATAAACCTGTAAGCAGCTTTTTAAAACTGTAGCTGATCTGGGAGGCCTACTTTCAACTATTAACCTATATATCCTGCAACAATATATTTTTTTAAAGTAATCATAGGTTTTCTATGTAAAATCTGCAAAGTAAACAGTAACTATAGCTGTCAAGAAAATGTAGTCAAGATAAAAAATAACATATTTCCCCATGACAAATTGTAAAGTTGAAAGCATAAAATGAAAATACTCAAATAAAGTACATGTACCTCAAAATTGCATTTAAGTACAGTGGGCCTAGCTGAGTAAATGTGCTTAACTTTCCACCACCGGGTGTGAAGAGCAGACATATAGGTGTCATGCCTCATTTATGACTGTAAGATGAAGGTTTAATTGACAGTCTTCCTCCTGTCTCTGCCAGGGTCGCAGTGCACAATAATATCCACTAGATGGAGCCAAAGTCTTTCGGCTCCGGGGCGCGTGTAACATGTTTAAAGTTGAGTTATTAAAGTTGAGCATGTGAGCACTTTTTGGAAATCAGACAACAGAGACAAATTTGACTGAGGAAATGATGTAGCCCAAACACATCCAGATGAAGACGTCCAAATGAGCTCGAAGAATCAAGTTAACCTAAACGGAAAAAGTTGAATCCGAGCAAATAAAACATAATATTTACTTAAACAAAAATGCCATAAATTAATTTCTTGTTTATTATTAGCCAACAGAAAATGGGTACAGTTGCCAAAAAAAAAAAAAAGAATACATAGTCCACTGTTGGGCTGGATGAGAGAGCTGTATGTTATTTACTGTCAATGTCTGGTGACTAAATGCTTCTTACACAGCAATATAAAAACGGAAACACAGCACAGCAGCTTCATAAATATGCACATTTAATTTCCGATACATTTTTGCTCAAATGTCTCCAACCCCCTCTGGATAACATCTTTAATTTTTCAGTCCCTGAAAGCCACAAATCTGCACCAAAGTTTTAATGAAACATTTATTTCATATTATTTTATGTAATTACATAATCACCATTATTAGCCTATTATTATTATTATTATTATTATTATTATTATTACACTCTAGTCTCCTAAACAACTACCTGTGATGACTAAAAAGTGGTGAAAATAACTGTGAAATTGTTCAGTTATCAAGAGAGGGCGACAACTGATTTAATTTCTTGCAGTAAATTTAGAAACTCTTATTGTTCCCTCCATGACAGCGTCTTAGTCACTGATGTTGCACAACTAGCACAGTTTCTTTTTTCATCCCCAGGTAGGCATCAGTGCCTGTACATGGAGACACCTCCTATTAGACCAGCTATCAACAGCCACTTGACATTGAGAAAGGGAAACAGACAGTCTGCCATTTAAACTCAGCGCTGCGGCCAAATTTTATCGAACATTTTCGTTGGGATAAACAGTCTGACAGCTCATCGTGAGGGCAGCTTCAAATTTGGGCTCTTCAGTGTGTGGACACAGGACAGTTAGAGCAGGAGGTGACACCACCCCACCTTGATTAATACTGAAAATATGCAGCTCGGGGTGATTTATGATTGCAAGAACATTATAAGGTTTGGCCATTTTGGCATGATTTAAAAGTAGGAAATGTAGAAAGAGAAAGATTTTCGTTTTTATTTAACATATTAATGAGGAAATAAATAGACAAATCATTAAGGATTTATTTGGAAAAATCGAATAACAATTCATCAGTGTAGTCCAGATTTATTCAGCTCACTGTGAATCCATCAGTCCCTAGGAAAAACTTCTCAGCATCTAATTTTACATTCATGGCAAACAGGCACAAATAAAGGACTGCAGACCTTAATAATGGTCTCAAGCAATTCACACATATTTATTTCTGCATTTTAGAAGCTTCAAGCCAGGGAGTGAAATCCGGACAGGTTGTTATAGCTACGCAATCCACAGGGGTTCCGATGTCTATTTAAAACCCCTCAGACCCTCCCTCTCTCCTTTAAACAACATTATATATCACACACACTGCATGCTAATGCGACCAATACTCAATGAGCACTAAAACACATCTTAAAATTAGCTCATTCTGTTGTGTGAGTTCAAACTGCCTGACTCGGCAACAGAGGGAACATATCATCAGAATTCCCCCTTTGGCAATACCTGCTGATTGGGTCCTAAAAAAGCAAGCAGCTTTTAACTTTTAATATTTGGCTCCCGAGTTCTGCCACGAGTAGTCGCGAAAGATAGATTCTCCCTCAGAAGATTTCCCCCATTTTTTGGAGGGTAGAAATAAAAAATCCATCAGTGAGGTTTTTTTTAATCTTCAGTTAAAATCTCAGTGCGTGTGTGAGCGCGCATGTAGCCTAGGCTTTCTGCTGGAGAAGTTTAAGCGAAACTTTAAGGATGATATACCTTGGATGTTTCCTGTTGCTCTGTGGGCTTACGCATGTCATGGCAAGTTATCCCATCTGGTGGTAAGTTTTATTTCCATTATATTCCCCGAACGAATGGCGACATATTTTTCTGAAACGTGTTAGATGATGCGTTTGTGCCGGGTTGTGCCAGTTTTGGTTGTGATTTCGTTTGTGACAGCAGCGGAACATTTAGGTGCACTGATGGTATAAGACGTTTGACACGAGTCTTAACTACCAGGGGTGCAAAGCGTGGCTTGCATTGTGTTCACCAAGTTTTAAAAACACGCTTTTAATTTGAACCTAGAGCAGGTAACACACCTTTATCAACACAAAAATAGATTTCAATCTAAATGTTTATTTTTAATGCAATATATCAGACATTTGCAGCATGAACGATGAGGGCAATTTTCATATTCAGAGTGCAGCAGGTGCAAAGTTTGTGTGCTTGCAATTGTGTGTGTGTGTTTTGGTGCATGTTTGTGCGCGCGCGCGTCCACTCGTTTGTGTATTCGAGGGTCAAAGTGGCAGAGAACAAGTATGAAATGTTGCCCAGGGTTTAACCTGAATGTCTGGGACAAACTGGTGATGTAAAATACACTGCATATGCATATTCTTAATGTAATTTGTATTATTTATAATAATGTTAAGAAGATGATCAGTGCAACATTTGAAATAGTTTTTTATTATTATTATTATTTCGCTTTTAACTAAACATAAGTGAAGCCTTAATAACCAAATTCACCAGTGTGAAGTGTGATAGCAGCATCTGCTGTGATGGATATTTTAGTCCACTACTGATTTTTTTCCTCCATCAGATTCCTCACTTTCCAAAAGTCTTCAAAAATCAAAATTTGATGCTTTTTTCTTGTATTTTTTTTCTTGCAGAGCATGCACCAGAGAAACTGTAAATGAATGGCACAGCAGCCTCATTATACCTCATATTCAAGACACTGACAAACATCATTAATTAGCACTATTTTTCACATTTTATTTTTTGCATAACTGTTCTGTGTCATCGTGTCTGGTTTCATAATGTTCATGTTTGTTCCATCAGCACACACCAATCACAAATGTCACTAAACTAACAACTGATGTGTATTTTATTTAAAAAATAATTATAATAATAATACAATATTTGGGTTTGCTTGGATACTGGGTGTACCCTACTTCCCTTAATGGGGCCCCCGCTGGTGGTAATACTGATGAGAAACTAATTACTCACACAGCTGGAGGGAAATCCTGATATAAGAGAGGGTGGAAAAAAACTGACCCAAATCAGTAATGTCTTGTTAGAGCATGGGATGTTCCTCCAACTGACTAGATGCTCAGTATATTCTGTGTTTTATCACCTGATATGATCATGTTTTGCACATTTGTTGTTGATGCCAGCGTGTGAGGTGCCAGGTTTTAGCTTTGCTGAGTGACACGCTGGCAAACAGAGCTGAGAGTGGCCTCGGAATTCAATCTCTATTATTTCTTTTTTTTTGTGTATGTGGAGCCAGTTATGAATGAAACAATGGAAGGCAGGTTTCCATTCTGTCATAACAAACTGAGGTGCTGGTTTGATTTCAGAGGGAGGATCAGAGTGTAACTACAGAAGCAAAAGAAGTAAACATAACGGGAGCAGGTTTGCTGTATCACTCTGCTCTTTGACTGCAGAGGTAGCACATGAAGTCACCTTGAGTTGAACATTCTTGACGTAATACTGAGGGGTTTTTTTTCTTGTGAGGCTACTGATGTGTTTTTGGTTTCATGGCAACTCATCCCAAGTCAAATAACGTGGTTCCTTGTGGATTGCGCTCAGTGTGGCTGCATTGTCCCTCTGTTTCCAAACAGCATGTCTGCTACCTGAGAGCTTTCGCCTCTGTGAAAGTCAACCCGTGATGTTTTGCTGACAGACTCTGCTGAACTTTAACTTCAAGTGGCCATCAGAGCTGCGTCACACTCAGCCTCTGTGCCGCAGCAGTCTCTGAGGATAGGGATATGCTCTAAGACAGGTTCATGTCTGTCTCTACTCGACCTGCCATGACATAGCCTGGCTGCACCCGCCACCCCACCACCCCCTTCCCTAGTCCACCCCACCTTAGAAGATAAATACCTGGAGGTGAAAGCTTGCCGCACATTCCTTCTCCCAAACATATTCTCTTGATGTCAAAGTCGGCTCCAAGGCCCCAGGGCCCACAAGTAAAGTGGTAATTCTAAGGTACCCTGCTTGGGCTTGCTGAAATATGCATTAAACCTGCGCTGGATACACTTAGATGAGAGGGGGAAAGTCTGTACTGAGACAAAAATTGAATTTGATATATGCTTTAGCTAAGTATTTATTTGTAACAGTTTTCACTAAAGTGTCTGTTCGACAACATAAACCTTAACAGTATTAGTGAATCATCTTTTTTTGACACTAAACATGAGTTTCTTTAGGAGGCAGCTGGTGTGAGGGGGTTGAATGGTTTTCTCGGAAATGATAGAAACTGAAAGCAAGAGCATTCAATAGATGCTTGAAATCCACACAACAACAGCATTCAAGTCTTTGTTGGAGCTTGAATGTTCTTTATGCTATAGCTCTTTTTAAAACAAATGATAAATCATCCCTGGTGGAACATACCCTGCCTCCTCTTTTAGGCCATTTCCTAACACAGGAAGAGGTGGCATGGATTACTCAGCCCCACTGAGACAGACACCGAGACGTTAATGAGGGGAGCAGCCGAAGCACATTGACTCATGATGGTTCAGAAATATGACCTGCATAAAATTCACACACAAAAAGACCATCAAAGGTGTCATCCTGATGAGTATTAGGGTTAACTACAGACTGTGGTCACGAGTAAACTCCTGTATGACATTTAATCTGCACTGTTTTCTGACGCTGAGATATATTTGGTGCTCATTCACTGATGCAAAAGTCTATGTCAATGACAGGGTTGATGGAAGACGCCATGGAAACCTCAGAGACGCCACATTTTTTCTCTGTAGAGGAAAAGGAAGCAGAGGAGGTTCAAGAGCAGACTGACAGGGGACAACTAGTTGTAAAAAATGCAGGCCTGCAGCACTTGTTTCCACCTCCCCTCAGTCCAGTAAACATCTCACAATGATGAAGCTGGTGCGCATGGTTTTCTTAGTGTTTCAGCTCTGTCTGTTGTGCATGTTCGAGACAAACCAAAAGTCTGCACCAGTTTAAGGTGGACTCAGGTTTCTGCCGGGAAAGATGTGCTTCAGGGTATACGGACTGACAAGGGCCAAAGAGAGGTCAGTGTGTAATAGGAGCGCCCTTGTTTACTGATAGATGTTGCAGGCAAACTGCAGACAAATGCGATTTCCTCTGGAGTCATTTTCAACTTGCCATCGCTCACTTACAGGGTGTCTCATTTATGATTAACTAGAGGAGTCTAGTCTGTAGAAATTGGGCGAGAAATTCCGTTAAAACCAGTGTGACACACAACTCTGACATTTGCTCAAGGGTAAATAATGGTTCACTCACGAGGTCAGCGGAAGGCTTACACACACCTTGACATCAGTCAACGTAAAAGCGTAATATTGAAAATGAAATTGTAATCAGCCTTTAAATTTCAACCTATAATGGAGGCATTCAGGGTCTGCATGTTTCACTGCCATCAGAAGTGGTCAGCCAGCGGTCAGTTGGCCGGGGAGATCTTTACTTGGACTGCGAGCTTTGAAAGAAAGAAGCCTGAGGCCAGTGTCAGGAGTTTTGGTAATCTTGTTGTGATCAGCAATTAGTCATTGAACAACAGTGAACGGGTCAGAAGACAGTGAGCTAACTGAGCAGCAAAAGACAGCACACCTGCTCTGGCTCTGCCTTTGTGCAGCAGCTACAGTAACTGTTATCAAGCCCATATCACTCAGGGGAGGATCAGCAGATTACTGCTGCCAGTGTTCAGTCTTTAATAGACAGTTGAGGAGAAATGTTGACTGGTGTGCATTGCCAACAAGCTACTTTATTGCTACTCTGCAGGGCACTTGCCAAAGATAATAGGAACTCTGCTATTAAATAATCAAGAAGTCAAAATATTGATTTTGGTGACATTTCAATAAAAACTCAGCTCAGGTCAGCAGGTCATGCATTTCTGGATTTTTTTAGTTCATCTAAATTGCGATAATGGTTACACAACATGTCCTTTGACAAAGAGCTTTACATGCATATCAAACCAATTACCCACCTTTAGTATGAGCCAATAAGGCTTTCTGTGATGTGGAAAATGCCAACAGATGGTCATGTACAAGCAAAGTGCAGCAAGATGTTTCTTAAAATTGGCTAAATTACACACTCTGCAATGATACAATGGATATCTCATTTCTATGATTACTAGTTACTAAAAGTCCTAATTGAGAGGACACAGAATATAAAGACAGAAAGACAGAGAGAAAGCAATAAAGGGAATGAGACAGAGAGATGTAATCAGTGAACCAAGTTTGCACTTGTTGTGTCCCAGAATACCTTCCTCAAAGGAAAAGGGGGGGGTTGGGTTCTGTGTTACACTTAATACACTCTCTGAAGTTTCAATGTTGGGTTTGCACTCTTATTACCCTAAGCCGAAGGCCTGTTAAGTGTGCGGACAGTTAATAACAAGGTGTAGTTTTCCAAGTTGTCAGCTTAAGGTCTATGAAGACCTCTAGATGCACTGTGGACTTTCATCTCAGACAGAAACACTGCCTGCTGCTGTGGTTGCAGGGCTGCAATTTCAATACACACAAAGGCCAGGTGTCTGCAGAGAGGGTAGTTGAAGGGATAAAGGATGGATGCCTAATGGTAGCATGTGATACAGCAAATAAACATACACAATCAAACTCAGACGTAACATTACACTGCACCTGCAGAGGGAAATTAGTCCTCCACTTGAGTGCTGTGCAATCAGTAGATAGACAGATAGGATACAATCATGAAGATGCACTGACAATGTGACTTCCTGTCTCCTTTCAGGTCACTAGCAGTGGGCCACCAGTACTCGTCACTGGGCACTCAACCCATCCTCTGTGGCAGCATCCCCGGTCTGGTGCCCAAGCAGCTACGCTTCTGCCGGAACTACGTGGAAATCATGCCCAGTGTAGCCGAGGGGGTCAAGATTGGCATTCAAGAGTGCCAGCATCAGTTCAGAGGCCGACGCTGGAACTGCACCACGGTCAATGACAATCTGGCCATTTTTGGGCCAGTGTTAGACAAAGGTAATGTTACACAACCAACGCATGCATGTAGATTTTAATAAGCTGTGCATATGCTGCTATTTTTTGTATGCAAGGAGCCTGTCAGTGTACCTCAAGCACAGGTCGCCAACATTCGTGTTTCAACTCCGCCGAAAGATTCCTGGCGTTTTTCATTTGGCACCGTTCACTTGGCTCAGTTGTGATTAAAAGATGTCAAAGCTATCAACCGAATTCACCTTTTCCAAACAAGCTTTTGAAAGGTCAGACCAAACCAGTGTCTTGGTAGCATTTGCAACAGTGCTGCTTGCACATAAACAGGCCAGAGTTTAATTATCAAAGTGAGGAAAAATGTGACAAACATGACATCAACACATACATTCTACAGAAAAACATATATATAATTAATGAGCCTATTTCATCATCTTATACCTAGTTTTATTGAAAGATTTCTTTGAATAATGCTTTTAGTAACTGCATGTAACATGATGCCGCCTTACCCCACCTCCCCCTAAATTAGGTAATTTCCTAGAAGTTCCACCTGCAAAAAGGCTCAGACTGAAAAATGAAAGTGACTTATTTTATCTCCATGCTGATTAACTCTTCCATTAACAATTCTATATTGTCTCTGTCTTATATTTGCATTAGAAAAGCTGCACTCCATGCATGCATCATTCATTATGCTCATTCATCCTTGTTTAAATAGACTTCAGACTGAACAAGCTCTGAGCAGCCTGTGTGCGCGTGTGTGTGTGTGTGTGTGTGTGTGTGTGTGTGTGTGTGTGTGTGAAATAATGTACACAAATAAGATGAGTGAGTTCTGTCTTGTTGGAGTTTTCTTTAGGAGGGAATCCCCGGTGATTGCTCTGCTGTACAATCCTCCGAAGTGCCTTGCACAAGACTGTAAACTGAGATTTATTTTTTTTAAATACATTGTTTGTCTATTATATTCTGCAGTGATGTATTACAACGCTTGGGTGTGCGTCAGTTCTGGTCTATTTGTGGGCTCAGGCTGCAGAAATTCCCACTGTGTTGGCAGTCTTTGTGCTAACCGACTTGCTTTTGCTTCCTATTTAACAGACAGACATGAGTGTGTGGTATTGATCTTCTGATGTAACTCTCAAAAAAAAAAGGAAATGAGGGAATTTCCACTGTATAGTAGCTTTTTTGTGTTTTCTTTTTGCTTCTTGCTCACTCAAAAATGAGTTCAAAATTGAGAATGAGCACTAAACATAGGGGTTGAGGGTTAGGGATCTAAATCTGTCACCCAGTTTGCAGAAGATTGATGCAAACACAGGGGGTCGAAGGTTACTTAGGGCAATTGCTTTTAATAAACTCCTGAGCCAGTTGATAGAAGAGGCTTGAGCTCAAGTAGGTGGCTAACGATAGGGGTTCTCAATCCGAGCCCTATTGTGGTGCAAAAAGCCACCACATCTCTCCTACTGCCTCCCCTCCCAGGCCTAAATTGCAGGGGTACTGAGTGGAAAGAGGAGGCAGCTACTGGGCTTTAGTAAATCATTTTGATTGGATTAAGGTCACTGAGGCCCTTAATAATGTGAGAGGTCAAAGTGACTGGATTAAGTGCCTTTGTCAGAAGCCAATGAGAGTGACTCAGGGGCTCACAGGCCTTTGATAGGGCTTAGTAGGAGAGGGCTTCCATTTCATTGGATTTGATTGATGCTGGTGTTTGTCTGTGCAACAGGGCCATTGTCCTCACTGGTGTCTGTTTGTCTGCAGTTCAGACTGTGGTGTGTCGGTTTCCGCCTGCCTTTTTGGGGGCCAAAGCTGAAAGGAGGAGTAGGCACCTTTATAGCCTTCAGGGGGTTAGTTCTTATCAGTTAGCCCATCACTTCCTATGTCCTCCTCACCTTCCCCGCGGACATTAGCAGTTTGTTTTACAGTGGATTAAGCACTGGATAAGTACTAGAACAGTGACAGTAATGGACCATTAGGGAGAGAAGGTCATTCTGTGGATCGAGACTACAGTTTAAAAGAATGAAGAACGTTTTTTGCCTGTAGAAAAATGCTTTTATCACTTTAACAACTTCCTTTAAAGGAGCAGTGTGTAAAATTTAGGGGGATTTATTGGCACCTAGCGGTGAGAACTGCAGATTGCAACCAGCTGAATCTTCTCCCGGTTAGAATTCCTTCACTATTCATTGTTCAGAAAGGTTTTACAAGGAGAAAAAATATCCACAGAGGTCTCCTCCACTCCAAAACAAATGGACCAGGTAATTACATCTGGTAAAAAAAAAAAAAATCCAATAAAGCAGTTTCACGTCAAAAGTTAGTGCTGTTTAGCTCTTCGCAGACAGGCTGCTAGCCCTTTTTTCTATGATAACTAAAGATTCAGATGTTCAGGAGCTTTTTACTGGGAGTGGAATTATTTGCAGAGGTTTCATCCCCTCCAAAACAAACACACCAAGTGATTTAAACTGGTTAAAATGCTGAATAAAGCAGTTTTGTTTAAAAAAATTAAACAAAAACAAACAAACCAAAAAAAACAAACAAATTTTTTAATGCTCTCATTGTGGACAGGCTGCCAACTACGGTGGCTGATGCAAAAACATGAACAAACAAATGCCCTATCTAGAGCCAGTGTTTGGTGTGTCTGTTCTGGGTTAATGTAGAAACATGCGGAGCATCAGCAATATCTACAGATGCGGACCTGCTCCCTATGTAGATATAAACAGCTCATTTTAGGGTAATGAAAACATGATTCTTATTTTCGAAACTACACACTAATGAGCATACTCTTATTATATTAAATTCTATTTCTATCCCCCTAAATCCTACACGCTGGACCTTTAAAATGCATAAACATGCTTATGCCAAATGTGATCATACATTGGCTTGATCACACACAATCATCCATCTAAACGCACACACATACCCAACCTCATGCACCGAAATATAAAAGAGTTAAGCTACCCCTGCCTTTAAACACATACTTCTTCTCTGTGCATGTTCTCTCTCCCTTCCACATGGCCTGATCCTCTCTCTATGTTTCTCCCTCACTCCACACCCCAAATCACGAGCCCTACCTCCAGGCTACGTCTGCGTCAGCACTCATTAATTTACATTAACTAAAGTGTCAAAACATGCACTGCTGGAATCTGCCTGTGATGAAAGGTGATAGAAAGCTGCGCAGGTGTTCTCGGTCCGTGGAGCCGATCCCAGAGCTGCTTCTGTATTCTTTGTATTTACAGAACACCTACAGACTGTATGGGTATAATCAGGCTCCAGTTTATGAGTCATATGATAGAATTAGTGAGGGCAGCCTTGCTACAAAAAGTGGACAGTCACAATTTTTCAGGTGTTACCACCTATGCAGGTATAGACATGCACGTCACTATTCTACTTGAAACCATTAAATTCAAATGAGGTTTACAGGAAACTCCTATTACGTAATATATGAAGCATGTGGAATGGAGTGCAGAGTTTCACACTGTTGTAGCTGTGACTTATCTAACCACCATTCCCTGTAGGTACCCCCGCCTTGCCTGAACTCTGTATACCAGGAAACACATCTAATAAATTAACCTCAATCATTAAGCCCCAACTAAACTAAGTGGGAAAAGGTCAGGGGATGTGGGTTACGACCTATGACCTGAGGATGAGAAAGTGTAACTATTTAGGATGAGCTAAGAGGTCTATGCTTCTCATGAGACGTATGTCTCTCCATGCTGGGGGAGGGAAACTAGCACACCAGTATATCATTAACTCTGGGCAAGAAAGAAAGAAGGGGTGTGGTAAATGGAGTTGATGGGGGGACCTTAGCCCCACTCCCTGCTGGGCACTGCTCAGAGCACAATATCTTCGCAACCATGAGATTAAGCAGGAGAAAAAGTGCTTTTCCCCATTCACACGCCCTTTAGATTGTTTTATTAAACCATTTGAATAGGGATTTCCCCGTCTACCGACAAGCGGGGTCCAGCCAATGCATAGTTCTCTGTTGCTATGACTTAACTTGGTCCCCACTAATCACTGGCCAGGGCAAATTTCATATAAAATATCTGGGGCCATTGTGGGACTAACACAGCGTGACAGTGGCAGCACAATAGGGGATTCAACCCCCCAGCAGGTTGTAGGGACCACTTGGCCTGCCAGGGTCTGGCAAAGTTTGGTGGAGGAGCATTGTCGGAGTAAAAGTGTCCTGAAACACCATAAACTGGTAGTAAAATCAAGAAAAGACCAGCAACTAATGTAAGAGCTGGTGTTTCCAGGTGACATAAATGCTATTACAGGTATTTATAGCTCCTGTATTTGCTATATGAAACACCAAGTATGACACATGAGTAGTAGTTTTTAAAATGAAGTGTAAATTCCTCAACCACACACCAAAAACTTGCCTTGGAATTGGCACCAAACTCTGGAAATGGAAACAATGTGTAACGACCTGAACTGAACTGAACTGAACCAGACAGCTTGGTGAAAACAGGGCTAATGTGGTGTTGAGGTGTATATAGAGATTAATACACTCCTCATAAACCATCTTTGCGCTGTAGTTTCATGTGTTCAAAATCCTCTAGTAAATGGTTGGAATGAAAACAATAGATATCATCAGCTTGTTTGTTTGTTTGTTTGTTTGTTTGTTTGTTTGCTTGCTTGTTTTAACCAAGGCACTTTATATAGGAGTGTGGGGCTGTCACAAGAAGTCTGCGACCATAGAGACCTACTGTATTTTCCCCCCATGTTAGCTTGTCCACTCACACACAGAGACACCAGGACGTATTTAATTTGCCCTGATCCGTCTCCTTTGCTCATTTTATCCCAAGATAATCCTCTTTTCCTCTCCCATTTGAACTCTTCCACCCCCTTATGCTGTGCAGCAGCATTGCCAGTCATCCAAAAGGTCACATTTCTAAAGGAGTTCCCCTGGGTCACGTCTGAGGTCCACATTTCTTCACATTTTTCATTAATAATGTCAAACACTCTGCGATGCACTAAATTAAATTATATTTCTATGCTGACGATACAGCCTTGTGTAAACAGAGAGATGCTTTTGTCTGATGGTCATCACCATTTTGGAGTTTTTGGAGCCAGAGTTGAGTTATGATGAGAGGGTGGAGGTAACCCTAATGCTAGCTGCTAGCTTGGTTAGCATGGTACATTTACAGCTATGTAACTGTAATAACACTAATGCTAATGCTAACTGTCTGGTGAAAAGCAGACTTAAAACTATCAACAAAATGTACTTACTGGAAAAACAGAACATCTGACTCCTTACAGATTCTTTTAGTACCAAATGCTGAGCAAGACTTGATCAGGTGACCAAAACATTTCATGAACTGAAAACGCACTAAAACAGTGACAGATAAAGCTATGTCTATACTGTGTATACATGTGAATGGGGTTACGGCATGGTTACGTACCTACCAATATGGTCGCTATGGTAGTGACCTGTCAACAGTCGGCACTCACCTGTCCCCCAAAGTGGCTATACCCTTAATTATGCATAACTTAAAGCCTTGATGAAATTTAACCCTTAAAGACCTAGAACAAATGTGGGGTCTCCTGACTCTCCTGTGTTTGTTTGATTATCCAATTCATTCTAGCATGCATCATTTTAGTCAGGAGAACCTGAAGTTTCAGTCTGACTTGTTTAAAGTAACAATTTTACATTTGCTTTGCCTGATAATGGCGAAATTAAACATATTTTTTTGGAAAAAAAAAAGCCTTAAAATGTAATGCTTTTATTACTGTGAACACAAACAGAACCTCATGAGAATTGTTTGAACTTCCAAATGATTTTTTGTCTACACCTAACCTTCTCTTAGCAAGTTACAGTCAATTATTATGAAGTAAGTAAGTACTAGTAAGTAAGTTATACAGTCAGGTCCATAATTATTTGGACAATGATACAGTTGTCGTCATTTTGGCTCTGTACACCACCACAATGGGTTTTAAATGAAACAATGAATACCTGCTTAAAGTGCAGACTCTCAGCTTTCATTTAAGGCTTTTTTCAAAAATGTAGTATGAACCGTGTAGGAATGACAACCATTTCTTCACACAGTCCCCCGACTTTAAGGGCTCATAAGTATTTGGACAAACTAACATAATCATCAATTAAACAGTCAGTTTTAATACTTGGTTGCAAATCCTTTACAGTCAATGACTGCCTGAAGTGTTGGACACATAGGCATCATCAGATGCTGGGTTTCTTCCCTGGTGATGCTCTGCCAGCCCTTTACTGCAGCCGTCTGCACTTCCTGCTTGTGTTTTGAGTGTTTTGCCCTCAGTTTTGGCTTCAGCAAGAGAAACGCATGCTCAGTTGGATTCAGGTCAGATGATATGACTTGGCCATTGCAGAACATTCCTTTTCTTTGACTTAAAAATGTCTTTGGTAGCTTTTGCAGTATGCTTCAGGTCATTGTCCATCTGCACTGTGAAGCATCATCCAATGAGTTTTGAAGCATTTGGTTGAATCTGAGCAGATAATGGTGCCCCAAACACTTCAGCTTTCATCCTGCTGCTCTTGTCAGCAGTCACATCATCAATAAATACAAGAGAACCAGTTCCACTGGCAGCCATACATGGCCATGACATAACAGTACCTCCACCATGCTTCACTGATGAGGTGGTGTGCTTTGGATCATGAGCAGTTCCTTCCCTTCTTCTTTCTCTTGTCTTCCCATCATTCTGGTGGTTGATCTTTGTTTTATCTGTCCATAGTATGCTGTTCCACAACTGTACAGGCTTTTTAGATGGTTTTTGACAAACTCTAATCTGGCCTTCCATTTTTAAGGCTAACCAATGGTTTGCATCTTGTGATAAACCCTCTGTATTTATTCTAGTGAAGTCTTGTCTTGCTTACAAGAGCAGCAGGATGAAAGCTGAAGTGTTTGGGGCACCATTATCTGCTCAGATTCAACTAAATGCTTCAAAACTCATTGGACGATGCTTCACAGTGCAGTTGGACATTGACCTGAAGCATATTGCAAAAGCAACCAAAGACATTTTTAAGGCAAAGAAGTGGAATGTTCTGCAATGGCCAAGTCATATCATCTGACCTGAATCCAACTGAGCATGCGTTTCTCTTGCTGAAGCCAAAACTGAGGGCAAAACACTCAAAACACAAGCAGGAAGTGCAGACGGCTGCAGTAAAGGGCTGGCAGAGCATCACCAGGGAAGAAACCCAGCATCTGATGATGCCTATGTGTCCAACACTTCAGGCAGTCATTGACTGTAAAGGATTTGCAACCAAGTATTAAAACTGACTGTTTAATTGATGATTATGTTAGTTTGTCCAAATACTTATGAGCCCTTAAAGTCGGGGGACTGTGTGAAGAAATGGTTGTCATTTCTACACGGTTCATACTACATTTTTGAAAAAAGCCTTAAATGAAAGCTGAGAGTCTGCACTTTAAGCAGGTATTCATTGTTTCATTTAAAACCCATTGTGGTGGTGTACAGAGCCAAAATGACGACAACTGTATCATTGTCCAAATAATTATGAACTTGACTGTATAAAATGTCAACACCTGTACAGTCATCATGAATGTTGAAATTTGCTTTAGAGACCAAAACTGGTTTTTGTATCAGGCGATGTAAAGTTGGGCATTTTTACATGGGGGATGGTCTATGAGGACTGACTAGGTCTTGGAGTCAGCCTCAAGTGGCCATTCAAGGAACTGCATTTTTAGGCACTCCATTGGCTTCTTTTTTAACCCTGTAGGTTGCCATTTGTGTAGAACTGATACCTCAGACATACACTTCAACAACTCATAGCTCTGAAATTAAAGATATGAACCTCATACTTTGTCTGTTTTATGATGCCAGGTGATATGTAATCAGTCATTGTAGACAGTTACCTCATGCTGTGATTTCTATCTTACAGCCCTCAGCTAAAGAAAATAATACAATATCCAGGTGCAATGATCTGTTGTGGATGCAGTAAGCTGGACTTGAGGAATCAGAGCAGAGGTTTAGATGTGTTGTGAACATGAGTAACCTGCGTATACAATAGCAGTATGAAGTGGGTGGTGGAGGATGCCAGTAGACCTTTTCTCTTGCATCATTGTTCCTAATGCCCTTTAGTCCTCAAACTGGTTGGAACCTGCTGTAAGGGAGGAGCTCCTACTCCCTTTAGCTTTATACTCCTCCCTTCTTTCTTTTCTTTCTTTCCCTATGACGTTCTTGTTCTTTGGACAGAAGCATGTGCTGCCTCTTTATCTATCACACACACATGCACGCACACAATCCCAAATTTCACTGTTGATCTTGAATCCCCTTTTCCATTTCTTTACTCTCTGTTTGTTCATTTCATGTTAACACCTGGCGTTTCCACTGTCTTCATCTTGTTCTCCCTGTCTCTTTTCTTGTGATTGTGCAAGACCGTACAAGTACATATATTCAAGGAAAAACCCCTGTCATAATTAATTCTGTTAAAGCGGGGATTGCTGAAGCAGAAAACATCTTCCCCTTCTATGACTATAAAGTGTTGTTCAGCGTCTGGACACTACAGTCCCCTCCTCGTGTTGTGTGTATGATTTGTCCCCGCAGTGTGAGGCAGTTTCCTAACCTTTCAAAAGCTTAATTGAGTCTCTTAATTATAGGCCTGTCAGGCCCGTCTCTTCCTCTCATCTCTGTGGAAGATCCTGATCCCTCTGAGTCATCAGTTAGCTATGTCAGACAGAGCCATGGAGGCCTTGCTGGCCTTATTCAGAGACAGGACGATTGATGTCTGGGCTGAATGAACACACACTCTGGTACACCTTGGTTGATACAACACATGTAGCCAACAATATTAATGGACTCGATGGTCTGTACAGTTTGTTCAGTGTTGTCTTGTTGGCTTGGGTTGAGAAATATTTGCTTATGCAATCATACAAGACTGAACACAAGCAGACATCCATATAAACAGGTGGTGACCTACATTCTCCACCAATTAATGTGACACCTTTTCTATGAAATTTCATTTAAAAAAAAAAAACATTACTAATGCGACTGACTTAATAGTTCTGCAGAGGTGTTTCTATGCAGGATGTTGCCTCTGTGTATTTTTCCAGTGCTCTTTGTCTCACAGATATATCAACTTCTCTTTCCAGCAACTCGAGAGTCAGCATTTGTTCATGCTATTGCCTCGGCTGGAGTGGCGTTTGCAGTGACCCGTGCCTGCGCTGAGGGTTCAGCCACCATCTGCGGATGTGACACCCGCCACAAGGGCCCCCCTGGTGAGGGATGGAAGTGGGGTGGCTGCAGTGAAGATGTGGAGTTTGGGAGCATGGTGTCCCGGGAGTTTGCTGATGCAAGGGAGAATCGCCCTGATGCACGCTCAGCTATGAACCGCCATAACAATGAGGCAGGAAGAATGGTGAGTTTATTAAAAGCCCCAGCTGAATCTGTTTTGGCATTTTTCTACCTTCAGATGTTTGATTAACACTTATATTTTTTTATCCTCAGTCCCTCAACGACAACATGTTCCTGAAGTGTAAGTGCCATGGTCTGTCGGGCAGCTGCGAGGTCAAGACGTGTTGGTGGTCTCAGCCTGACTTCCGAGTTATTGGCGACTACATGAAGGATAAGTATGACAGCGCATCAGAGATGGTGGTTGAGAAACATAAGGAGTCCCGCGGATGGGTGGAGACCCTGAGACCCAAGTACAACTACTTCAAACCCCCCACAGAGCGCGACCTGGTTTACTACGAAAGCTCACCCAATTTCTGTGACCCCAATCCCGAGACGGGCTCCTTTGGTACCCGCGATCGCATCTGTAACCTGACGTCCCACGGTATAGACGGGTGTGACCTCCTCTGCTGCGGCAGAGGTCACAACACCAGGACTGAGAAGAGAAAGGAGAAGTGTCACTGTATTTTCCACTGGTGCTGCTACGTCAGCTGTCAGGAGTGTGTAAGAGTCTATGATGTGCACACTTGCAAATAAGGACGCCTGGTTCTTGCCTTTTCTCACCAAAATTTAAAGACTTCAGTGGGCAGAAGAACAAATACAGCAACTTATCTACAAGACATGAGAGACTGTAAAGCTGTCTGACCTGTTCGCAGACTCCAGGGCAGACGCAGCAGCCTTGTGTTTTGCGCTGTGATGCTAAAAAGAGCCAGATCTGCCTTGATCAACTGAAATGATTAGATGTTGACATCACAATGCATCATCGATATGACCAGCAATGATGGTGATGATGACAACAATGTTGATATCTCTAGCAATGACGAAAGAGTTTTCATGAACTGACGTAGGAAAGGAGAACTGTCGGCTAATTGACAAACACCATATTGGTGATTTTTTTTTCCCATGTTCCAAGTAGTTATTTTTGTTGAGAATAGTACAGCACTGCCAATGCTTTCAAGACTACGGGGCAAACAATGAAAGTTTTACATTTTCTTTTAATCACAATTTGTTTTTGCCACAAAAAGTGAGCAATGTACATCATGAGACACTCAACAGCATGTATTCTCCTCAACATTATAAGTATGTATGTGTACATCTGAAAACTAACATTATCGTTGTGTGAATGAGGTTTATTATAGTGTTAATATGTTACTGAGGTTTGGGTAAGAATGCACTTGCACCTGAGTGAATGTAGTTATTATGCTGCAATGTGTTTACATATTCTCACATTCTTAAGCTAACGAGTTAATATCTAAATGACTAACTTTATCTCGAGAGTAGACGTGAGCCACATCAACTAAACATCGGCAAAACAAGAATACACACAGTTGCACATTTCCTGAAACACCAACCTGGTATCTCTCCCAACTTGTCAGATACGGAAGCTTAGTCAGTGGCCCTCAGAGGCACCCTTTAGCAGTGGTATGAGGCACGTGGAGCAGCGGTATTTTTCGACACTCTGAGCGGCTGCCATAGTATAAAGAGCAATTAGGTTAACTTCAAACTTCAGCTGAGAGGCCGTTGTTCAGGTCTTGTTTGAAGCCAAAAGTCAATCCAGTTGTTTTAAAAACAACGTAGTGTGCTAAATTGTGCTGCATGCTCTGCTAATATGTCATGAGACGTTGCACTACGTAAATGTAGTTCAGTCAGGAACACTTTAGTCAAAGAAAGCTTAATTTCCATTTGCAGTATTATATTTGGATATAATACCTTTTATAACTGCCTTTCCTAGGGCCTGTGGAAAGCACAAGGCAAAGAGAGCACACCTCTCTGCCCTTCCACACGCCTGCGTGGAAAGCCCTAAGGGGGCGATCACACAGAAATGAGACGCTAGAGACGCGGACGCTTCAAAGATGCTTGAAACGCTGGAAGCGCTTTTTCAATGCACGCTAGCTACTGGCGTCTGACGCTCAAAAAGTTGAAAATATTTTAACTTTTCAGTGTCTACACGCATCTAAAAATGTGCATCTAAAAAGAAGCGTCTACAAAAACTCGCATCTAAAAAGACGCCGGAAAAATGCCCATCTAAAAAGACACTTGAACGCCGGTCAGACGCACTGTATCATAGGAAAACAATGGTTTTACTGGCGTCACGTTTCTGGCGTTTCATCTCGGTGTGATCGCTCCCTAAGGCAGAGAGAGCGAACCCCCCTGCCCTTCCATGCGCCTACATGGAAAGCCTAAAGTGCAACACACACCGCCGCCGTACGCCACGCGTCAAAACGCCCGCCTCCATTATATTCTATGAACCAACCCACACTGGCGCCGGCCGACGCACCGCGCCGCTCTGCTTCAGCCCACTGCTCTATTTCCAGCGCGGCCGGCGCTCATGGTGGCGCTGCGAGAAAAGCCTTTTATGTACGTCTCGTCTCGTAGGATCAACTCCGGTTGTTTCAAATTTTTAATAAGACGACTTTGATAAGAAACTCACCCGTGAAATTCAAGTTGTTGTTGCCTCAAAGTTTTTCCTCTTCTTCTTCTGTTATTAGCAGTTGGCAACCGTTGGCAACTAGTGTAGGTACAGCCACCTAGCGGGCTGGGGTGGGAAATACATGTTGACGGTGCCGCTGCGCGCCGCTGCCAATGTGTGTTGGGGGGCGGCCCTTGACGGCCACAGCGCCGCGCCGGCGGCGGTGTGTGTTGCACTTTAGGCAGAGAGAGCAAAGCAGCAGCAAAGACCCCCCCAGGAACAGAACAGAGCAGCATCAATGACAGAAATGACACTGATAAGTCAGATACAACATGAAAAGGAGGAGCTGGGGTGGAGGCAGGTTGCAAAGTGGCTCGCAGAGGAAGCAACAACAGTAGGCAGGCCAGGGCAGTTTATATAGGGCGCCCTGAATGAGATTCTCCAATTGGTTGCATAGAAAGGAATCGTGATCTATCAGCTGACTCCCTTCCATCAGTCAGCTGCTCCATCAGTTGACTGGGATGTTTGAGATCAGCTGATGTAGCTGGGATGTGAGCTGAGCTTGACATCATGTCCTGCCTGAACTAACGTTATGCTCAGTTTATTTTATGCCAAACCATGATGGGTTTTTTTCTGAACTAACCACATGGTTTTGTTGCCCAAACCTATGGAGGTAAATTTAAAAAAGTTTTAATCTACATTATAAATTTATTTTGAAAAGAGGCTGCATGCATTAAATAGATGTTAAATGTACATTTTCTGTGAGAACTAAAGTTTATTTTTATAAGACAGTGCATGTAACCAGCGTCACTTGAATGGGCCATCCATGACTGTCAAATATCAATGCTGGAGGGGCACCTAGAGCATTCAGGGCCACTGACCAAGCGTCAGTATTTGATGAGTTGGGAGTGAGAATGTGTTGGAAACACCTGAAAACACTGGAAGCTTTTTCTTAAGAGTAACAATGCTTTGAACAACATCGATAGTTTTGACCAAAGACAAGAAAAGGAAACCCCCCCGGTCAGTTTGTGGTGGTCAGAAAGCTGTAAAAGTATCTGAAAGGTCAGCACTTGTGTGTCCCATCAAGAAATATGAAGCATGTTCTCCTTGTTTTTATCAGTATTAGCAATGTCTCATGTGACTGGGTGTGGGGAAACTGTAATTTATAAGAAAAAAAAGGGATATTCCCACTATATTTTTGTTTCATTTACACACATATATTCTTTTATTTTAATATTTCACGAAATAGACGTAAATTCTGTTCTCCCTGGTAAAATAAAACACAAATGGCAAACACACCGCAAACCAAGCTGTATGATATAAGCTCTGTATAATGCAGTATAATTTGCAATTGTGGTAAAATGATGACCAAAACCTGTGCATGAGATGATTCTCAGCTGTGGCTTCTTGTTCCCCAAACTAAACAACAAGCAGCATCACTGAAACTATCAATACTTCCCTTATTTTAATGCTGCTAAGTAAAGATAATATTTGTGTATGTGTGTTTATGTATATGTGTATGTGTGCGTGGTGTGTGCGCATGTGTTTAGGTCCTTACATACAGTATGTCTTTGTTTATATCCTTGCATGTATTTGATTCTTTCTGTGAAAGAAATCTACGATATGTAGTTTGGAAAAAAAAAATGTGAAGTTTTGACTAATTCTTGCATACAGTAATTTCCATTTTAACTAAATAGACCACAATAGAGTTTATTTTATTTTAGTTGCCTATGGTTTTGTAGTCATGCTAAACATCAGGGCAAAAATGATTCATGTTGTTCTCCCTTAATTTGAGAAGAAAGAAATACAACACAGTATTTATTTATTTGGAAAGTGAAAAACTACTGAAAGCTGAGACAAGTAACATAATGTTTGTGAAAATGTGCATGTGCCATTTCACTGATAGCTTCAGCTGTAAAGAGGTGCATAAAGTCACTGATGAATTATTGTTTACAGCCAATGTAATGCTACGTCTCAGGCATGTGTAGTTCTCAGATTTTAAAGGTCCAGTGTGTAGGATTTAGTGGCATCTCATGGTGAGGCTGCAAAGTAGGAGAACTACAATGGCTCATGCGAAAACACAAATACCTGTCTGTAGCCAGTGTTTAATTTGTCTGTTCTGGGCTACTGTAGAAACATGGCAGACTCAGTGGAAGAGGACCCACTCTGTACATACACATAAACAGCTCATTCTAGGCCAATGAAAACACAGCGATTCTCATTTTCAGGTGATTATATACTAATAAAACCATAGTTAAATCCCCCCTAAATCCTACAGACTGGACCTTTAATCAAAACAGCCCCCATCCTGACTGAAAATATTAATGAGCAGCCACAACCAGTTTCACACTAGTTTCATCTTTAACACACTACACAGCAACCATTACCAGTACAAGATCTGTTATCTTGCATCTGTTACCGTACACTTTATATGTGATTGATTGCTTGTGTGGACAATTTGCTTATGTTCTAATTTTTTTGTCAAGTCTTTAAATCCAAAGTTTTGTACAAAGTAGTTTTTTTTTTGCGTTTTTATGGATTTCTAAAATTGGATGTTTTTTTATAATTATTTATTTCATGCTATGTACATATTAGTAAGTAAAAGTATATATTTGCAGAAATATGTTTTTTTTGAAACAGTGTTGTGACTTGTAACGCTGTAGCCTTTTTACCTCATCTCTGTTTTTTCACTGACTGCACACAGGTATCGTTTGTCTTACTGCCTGTAGTAGATTTCTAAAGTTAACTCTGTAACACCAAAATAAAGCAACATAAACAACCAAACTGCTGTGATGTTATCTGTGAGTGGAATTTATATGTGATCAATTATTTTGTCTTTTTTTTGTTTCGAAACATGAGGAGTGCCAAGACATAAGCACAAAGATGGACCAGTAACCACTGACCTCCAACCTCTGGGGGCTCATGTGTAGGAAACCTCTTGGACAAAGGTGCAAATATACAGCAGGGGAGGAATTACTTCTTTTTATCACCAACACATATATGTAAGAGCATTTTAATACTGTAGTTTGTCGATGTGGAGCCAATTTCAGATTCTTTATATACTATTGCATACCACTTTTCTAGTACTGCATCATATCATATTGGCGTCACATGTTCTTTCATGTAAAAAGTAACTAAGTGTCAAATGAATTTAATATTTCCCTCTAAAAATGTAGTGGGATAGAAGTATGAAGTATAGTTTAAAAATGGAAATACTCAGGTAGAGTTTTAAGGTACCTGTACTTCACTTAAGTACAGTACTTGAGTAAATGTACTTAATTACCTTTCACCACTACCAATATCATAAGTCTAACGTGTTTATGAATGCAACACCTGAATCTAAGGATAATAGCACGACATAAAATAGGTTGGAAATGTAATTTAGCTACTTGTTGCTTTGGACAATGAAAATAAGCTTTTTTAAAAGAAAATGAAGACATAAAGCCCTGAAGTAAAAATAATTTTAAGAAAAATAATTTTCCTGTATTTTAAAAAAGGCCATGATTGGAAAGTCACACTAATCTATGCTTTCCCAAAGAGGACACAAACATGCATAGTGATACATTATTTGCTATTTGCTGAGAGTATTATGTGTTGGAATATAATTATGAAGAACTGGTCAAACTCAGCTTTGAAGGGGCGTAAAGGGGCGGCTGTGGCTCAGAGGTAGAGCGGAGTGTCCACTACTGTGAAGATCAGCAGTTTGATCCCCGGCTCCTCCAGTCTGCATGTCAAACTGTCCTTGAGCAAGATATTGAACACCAATGAGCTCCTGATGGCTGTTCCATCAGTGTGTGAGTGTGTGTTAATGTGACTCGTAGTGTAAAAAGGTCGGATGACTAGACAGGCGCTACACAAGTGCAGGTCCATTTATCATCCATGTAATGGTAGGAGGCTGTGGTGAGAGACTCAAAGATGATTGTCCAGGAGCTCCCTGATTAATCAGTAATAATGGCAGTAGTGCTGAGCCCCTTTCACACATGCAGTCTATGCATGGTGTTACATGTGAATGGAAGCAGGGGTCGATATTCAGGGAAATCTGTTTTGCCAGTTTCTCACATCAAGACCTGGTAACATTTCATGTAAAATACCTTTACGGCTGTGTTGTAAATGAATGCAGTAACACTGCAGGGGGAGGCACATTAAAGGTTACGTCTATATGACAAAAGCCACTTTCATATGGAGTGAGCAACTCCATTGCAACACTCCACTGATAACGCATTTGAATCAGCGACTGGTTTGTTAACTACCAGGCAAGATATTAATTAAATCCATGAACACTGGCACCAAACCAAACCAGCTCCTTGCCCACCTTGTTCCTGAAAATAACAAGAGCCGTCTTCAACCACGTAGACTTACATTTAGTCTTGCCCCATCTTCCTCTTCCTCCTCCTTTTGAGCTT